TACAAGAAGGCCAAGTTAAATATACTTAATGGCACCATGGACTATATCTATGTAACATATTATTTACCGACATTAACTTGTGAGCTTAATAATATATGATATATATATCCGATTGAAATAAATTAATCAAAAGGAATCATTTATTTTCATCACAGCTGGAACAGTTAAGAACAAAAAGTTATTTAGCTGTTAGATAAGACAAAATGATTGAATTTAAAAGCAAAACTTTATCTGTTTCAAAGAACTACAAATTAATACACATTTCCTAAATAAAAGGAAATAAAATATAAATAATTCAAAGAGAAAACTACCTATTATCAATAATTCTACATTTATATCCCGACCAGATAGATGACATACGTGTATTATTGAAACAAATGTTTGAACAGTAATAAATATTCAACAATATTAAAAATGAGAATGCGTAGCTCCACAATTGAAACCTACTTTGAACGTGTTAGAAAACAACAAACAATTTTCTAAAGATACCAGGCTGATAATGTTGTAAGACAGACGCACAATTACTCAGCACAAGACTATCAAGTGGCGCTGGAAATGAAACAGTTGTTGTAAAACCAAATCGATTACGAAGTTAAAAATGGCTGGTGGTAGAAAACCGTAGTGTTTCGAATGATTTTAACAAATAATGAATATCACATTTACAATTATATATAAACAATTTTAACGACTTGTCATGTCAGCACAGGAGCGCTTACTACTGGGGTATTGTTACACTCGGAGACGAAACGTCTATAAACAGTGGCATCAACTCAGTTATTGCCAAACTTATCAAAGGTTAACAGCCTTTAATATAGAATGGCATACACGCCCATCATTTCTTCAAGATTAACCAGTGGCGTTTGAGGCAAAACTAAGGGTACCCAAGAAGCGGTAAGCAAGAAAATCACACAACAGCTTCATTGTATAACGGTATAAATGAATTCGCTCTTACTTTTTAACATTATAGTTTAACTAATTAAATATTTTTGAAATGCCATCCAATATGGAGGTTCTTATGCAAAATTTAAATGGTCATGAGTTAAATCTTTTGACATCCTGCAGAAACAGCCGATGTTAGATATTTTGTTCCGTCTCTAAACATACCTGGATGTTATTCATAAAAGACATTCAGGGAACGTTCATTATATATTGCAAAATCCCTTTGCATTATTGGAGTAAACACTAGAGAACACGGCTCATATTGTGTATACTAATGCAATTGTTTGCACCTGTCCTAAGTCAGGAATCTGATGTTCAGTAGTTGTCGTTTGTTGGTGTGGTTCATAAGTGTTTCTCGTTTCTCGTTTTTTATATAGATTAGACCGTTGGTTTTCCCGTTTCAATTGTTTTACACTAGTAATTTTTGGGGCCCTTTATAGCTTGCTGTTCGGTGTGAGCCAAGGCTCCGTGTTGAAGACCGTACTTTGACCTATAATGGTTTACTTTTATAAATTTTGACTTGGATGGAGGGTTGTCTCATTGGCACTCATACCACATCTTCTTATATCTACTAACACAATTACTCAAGAACAGTGAGGATTTTGTTCAAAATATAAATTGTTCAAATTTCTATTGTTTGTTGTGGTATTTTTTACCAACCATTTCTGCGCAGATGAGACTGAATACTAGTAATTGCATTTCAGTTGAATGCAAGTGTCATTATTGATTTTACGCTCTATAGACGGGACAAGTATACCCTTTTTTCCGACAACTGGCATAACAATAAGTTCCTCCCATAAAAATACTCATAAACGTGGAAAAGAGGAATAACAACGGACAAGAGAAAACAAATTGATATAAAATCCTTGGTTTTCTTTACAAGTAATTAAGCGATCTGGAAAACATTACAATTATATAAAATGATTTTATTGCAATTGATCTGAAAATCTGCCTGTTTGAAGAGTTGCCTAATGAACCATGAATAACCATAACAATAACACTGTATGAAAAAAACACATCATTATTTGCCTGGAAACGACAACAATGTACCATAAACACTGTTAATTTCAACACCTGATATAGTAAAATGATAACCGTGAGCTGACATACTTTATATTCTGTTCAAAATTTGTTAAAATCCACATTATCATTACAGTTGAGTTAACGATTAATTAATCATAAAAGTTTTAAAACGATTTATGTGACGAGTTTTATTTATGCAGTGCATGCATTTTAATGGCAATAAATGGATAATTGAAGAATTGAACGATAAAGGTCTTGCATCAATGCCACGTTCATACTTTATATGAACTGGTATTGTTTACTTTTTAAAACTGCAGGAAATGAAATCGTTATTCAACATGCCATTCTAACTGTGACCATTGATAAGAGTAAACGATCACTTAATTCGATGCGAGGTACAAATGTACCATCTTGAAGTATTGAAAGATACTTATGTACATTTTAACCGATGTAAAATAAACCGCGTTCAGAAATACCATTAACATTCATTGTTTGCCTGCGGTTGCACTTGTTGCCATGAGTGTATTGGCAAATAATCTCAAATTTCTTTCGACTACAAGAGATTGACAGTTAGGTAATCAAGTTCGATTTCACGTGATTAGTTAAACAAATTGAAACTCAACAAAGATTGGAATCAACAATTGGATTAGAAACGACTTGGCTCGATAAAACATCTTGGCAATCAACAAAGACAAAGTTGATGATGCTGATTTGTTTTATCACTTCCAGTGGCAAATATGACAAACACTCCAGAACGATATGTTAATGTAATATGAATATGAACCCAGTTTTGTACTAGACAGATTCGCTGAGCTGAATTTTTAACGTGCTGATTCAGAAAGTACATGTTTTCGGACACATTATTCTGATTCCAATCTGATCTGGTTGTTTTTTTTTCTGAATGCCGTAGAAGCAGAAGATAAAAACTTCCAATTCTTATGAACGACCCGACCTGCATCGAACCCGCAACCTCACTCAGCATTCCAAGAGAGCGCGCTGCTACGTGACTACTGATGAAGTACGAAACAATGAACCTGAGTTATAAAATCAACGGAACCAATTTTATTGCGCTTTTCGACAAAATATGTTAATTTTCTTTGATGATGCTCGAGGTAAAAACATTTGAAAAACCAAATCTTATATAAACGTTGACGAGAGAGTTTATCTATGTATGCTGGTTTTGAATCTCACTAAAGCATGGATGGCATAGAAACGAGACCAATTTCCCTCTTCACATATTTGATAAGCATATTTAAATTAACTAATTCAGCATTTGGCAGCTAGTGATTTTTTTTTTAAATTTGTTATCATTTGTTTGGAAAACTTTTTCAAGTTCTTACCTCTTATATTCGTACGGTAAAACTGATGAAAGAGAATAAAGAAAATGTCACTTGTAATTTTTTTGTATGACGTATCTTACTCTTTCATCTATATAAGTACATAAGGTCAATTTCGTTCAATAATGGATACCTTTGTTCCTTGTGGATAAGATTTATTTACAAACAAAACAACAAGTTTGATCAAAACGATTTTGTTTCAATAAATAAATTAAAAAAAACATCAAAACAAACAATACCAAATCATCGTTTAATTCATTGTATGGTAGCGTGAATGTTATTCAATTCAAAGATGTAGCATTACAGTAATAATAGATGTTTACAAATAATTTCATCCACAGCATTAAAGGTGATACACTGGCTAATGTATACCAAAGTATGTATGTTGCATCTAAATGTACGTCTATATAATTCGTCTCATATTTAGCCCAACAATGTTAGACCTGCAAATTTGCGTTATCAAATTTCTTTTCTTCTCTCAGCGAGACTCGAACTCTTGCTTCTTTGACATCGTGGCAACAATGCCTGCAGTAGACCACTCGACCAACTAGGCTATATAGAAATTTAGCTTTCTATGTCGATTTCTGCCTTTCCTCGTCTTTTCCATGCCCGATAAATCATATTGGCAATTAACAAAGATGAGAAACAACTAAGCTCCATAAAAAATATTGGTAATCAATAACGATTAGAAACGACCTGGCTCGATCAAACATATTGGCAATCAAAAACAAAGATTATAAACGACCTAGCTCGATAAAACATATTGGCAATCAACAACAAAGATTATAAACGACCTAGCTCGATCAAACATATTGGCAATCAACAACGAAGATTATAAACGACCTAGCTCGATCAAACATATTGGCAATCAACAAAGAAGATTATAAACGACCTAGCTCGATCAAACATATTGGCAATCAACAACAAAGATTATAAGCGACCTAACTCGATCAAACATATTGGCAATCAACAACAAAGATTATAAACGACCTAGCTCGATTAAACATATTGGTAATCAACAACAAATTTTAAGATTATAAACGACCTAGCTGAATAGAATATTTTGGCAATCAACAAAAAAGAATATAAATGATCAAGCTCGATAAAACATCTTTGCAAACAAAAAAGATTAGAAACGTGACAAAACAAAGACGATGTGCATAATGATCTGGTGCTAATATCAAGTGACAAATACTATATGCATAATGATCTGGTGCTAATATCAAGTGACAAATACTATATGCATATCAGGACGAGAACATGTTATAGTGATATGAATATAAAACATATTTTGAACTAGACATACTTGCTGCGTTGGATTTTGTTACGTAATAGTTCACAATGTATATATACGCAGGAAGACATATCTTCCTACCAGGACACATTACTCGGAGTCCGAGCTAACAAGTTTTTGATTTTACTCCTTCAGGCCGCGTGCATAGTAAAGAAACAGCAAATACCAATGTTAGTTGAACCTGTCCGGGATCGAACCAAATAGACGACGCCCCGCAGTACTCGAGGCAAGCGGTACTACGAGTCCATCGAGAAAATATGAAACAATGAACAAGATCACAAATCAGTTGATGCTGAGTTTAAATTTTACTTACATAGATCACATACTATGATAGAACATTGGTGAATATTGAAAAAAAATCAAAACTTTTGTTAATTTGTTTTGATTAACTTTACAAAGTGACTTACCTCTAAGCTTTGTACGACCAAACTGCTGAAACAGAGTAAAGAAATGTCACACGCATTATTTATCAAATAACGTATCTTATTCCTTCATCTATATAAATACATATGATTAATTTAATTCAATAATGAACTCCATTGTTCCCTGGGGATAAGATTTTTATCCAAACAAACCCACGAGTTTGATCAATATGATTTTGTTTCCCTAAATTGAATAAAATCAACACTACAAACAATACCAAATCGTGTAATTCATTGTATGGTAGTGTCTATGTTATTAAATTCAAAGTTGTTGTATTTCAGTCATTATAGATGTTTACGGATAATTAATATATTATATTCTTACCCCCAACATTAAAGGTGATACACAAGCTTATTTATACCATAGTATGTATAATATGTCTCTGGTAAGTGCGTTGCACCTATATTAAAAAATGAAAAGGTTCTTTTTTTTTATCTTTATATTTATAGGTGCAAAAACGTTGTCATTTCTTAAACATATATGCTGCTATCTGAATCTTCTTTCCAGTTTCACGTCAAGAACAATATTAACTTTTGCCAATAAAGAAAATCTTATCTTTTAATATATTACCTATAGAAAGATTAAAGTTTCAAATGTTCTATCAATTTAATATTTTATTATTAAGGAATACAAAGCGTTTGACAGGAATTATGTAGAAAATGGCCCCTTCCGACCTTTTCTCATTGCTTCATTTTCTTTTTTGTTGTCTTTTTAAAGCTTTTTGTCTTTTTTTCAAATAAGTAAACAATTATATAAAATTTGTTAATTTCTTTTCGATATTTGATTTGTTTGCGTACGTTTATGATATTTGTTTATGTGTTCGTTGCCTCATGCAAGTGTTTTATAATATACAGCTAATAAATGGAGACGTCTTGTGCAAGTTTGGATAACTTGTGTCACCTTCTTTTATAAATTATCTAATATTTTGATATCTGCTACTTTCATAAAATAACAAGAATTGTCGAAACAACTGCCCTAAACTATATGTTACTGGCGTGAATTTTCGTTTTATACTGTTATGTTAGATAATATCTGTTCTATTATACACAGATACTAAATAGAGATGCATCTTGATAAAGAGTTGATACTTCAAGCAAGGTTAGAGTCCACTTTAAACGTCTGCAGTTTGTTCATTTAGAAATGCAATCTTCATACTACGTGTGCATTTGTAAGTGTTTTTGTGATATAGTTTTTAAAATAGAATATTTAGATCCATTTGCATTGAATTTGTAAAAGGCAATTATTTCTTTGATGGAAATGTGTACCTTGATTGACTACAATGTGTTTGAAAATACCATTGAAAGTGCATTATCAAATATATATCAGTACTTTAAATTTTATTTTTTAAACGTTTGATTTCTTGAATAATAAAAACACAAAATGACAAATTATCATAAATATAGGACAGTACAACAGACCACAACAAAACCCGAATCCTTTAAATTAAAAAAAAATAGACGTACAAACAAAAACAAAAAAACAAAAAAACCCCAAAACACCGAACTCTATACGTATACATGTTCACTACACTAGCGTGATACAATCATCTGTAGTGCACATGTTATGTCCACATCATATTTAATAATATTTTGTTATTTAGATTAAATCTTGTAATAAAAACAATAATTCATAAGATATTTGAATATTTGTATCTTAAAGACAATCGAACTTTTTCTAAAATTACGACATTTGGTTTGGTTCCTTCTTCTTACATGTATCAATACTCGTTTTTGCTAATTCTATAAAAAATACAGTTTCGAATCTTTTATTAGCATTGACAATTGTATTTTATAATCAAGAATAGTATAACACAATATTGTCAGACACTCAAGAACAGACACGAAGCCGTGCCAGATTGTCATGTGCAGAAATTCGAATACTTTTCGAAAACGACAAAGCTGGTGAAATGCGAAGGAATTAAATTGATCTTAAGTCTTTGGAAGCTTTGCTAATCGTATGACGTATTAAAACACGAATCCATCATTCGTCTTCAACACAAGAATCAGCTGCTTCTAAATAATTTATGTGTATTCCATATATCATCATTCGATGAATATTCGAGTAAGTCAAAGTACCTGTTTCTGGTATCGTTTCAGCTATATGATAAGATTTCCCTAAGTCAACATCTGTGAATTTTGCTATTCATTTGAAAACATATATATGTGGTTGGAATGCCCATGAGACAACTCGCCCCAGTAACACAAAAGAAGAGGATGAGACAACTCGCCCGTGTAACACAAAGGACGAGGGTGTAAATGGAGCAACCAAAAATATAGAGTTCAGTCTCTTATCACGGCTTTTGTCAAAACTATCATTAGTGTAGTGATCGACGTAAAGACGATATTAAACAGAACAAACACAGGGCAATTACAGAAAATACAAGAAGTCTTAGTAGGGCAAAACTAATAAACTGTGATAATTTTTATAAAATAGAATACATAATGAGAATTAAGGGGGGAAATCTCTCATAAACGTAAAAAATAATGGCATACACCGCAAGCACGGGGAAATATTCTACTGTATCCATACATCACGACAGACAAACCCTGTCACCAATATAAAAATAAGGGTTAATATAAATGTTCTGTATGTCTGTACACCAGTCTCGTTACATTTTTGTACTTCGGTTTGTCTCGTTTGTTGTAAGACAATCAGGGAAAGTTCTTCAGATTGAAAGTCAAAGTTTTTACTATTTTGATAAGCAAAGTTTATACACTTTCAAATAAAAAAACATATATGAGTCAATTTATTTCAATAATAACTACCATTGTTCCCTGGGGGATAATATTTTAAACCAGATGAAATCACAATTTTGATCAAATTGTATTTTGTTTCAGTTAATTAAGTACAATGTGAACTTTACAAAGTACAAATGAATATAATATTCATTTCATATATAATACATTGTTTATTTTCATTGATTTGTGCATTTGTTGGATGGCAGACTTAATCAAATTAATTTTGCTCGAATTATGCCATAAAAGAGGACACAAATGACAATATTGGCCGTCAGAGAGACATGATGACCGTAATGAATTTCGAATATTAAATAAATGGGCAAAGACGGAAAGGCAATACAATTCCATAAATAACTTAAGCACTGTTTTATATCACACATAAGTGTCAATCTGCTCTCGTTTTGTCATCTTCGTTTTGCTTTTCTACGTAGGTAACTCGAAAGATTCTGCGCCCTCTATCGGTCAATGCCCGCTAGAGGCGAATGTAGCGATAGTGAGTCGGAAAATAACGACTGGAATAGTCGGATAACAACGAAAGTCGTTATTATAGTGAACGATTCAAAACTATCATGTCAAAATTATTTCGTATTAAAACATACATACCTAGAGTCTGTTTAATGCAGGTAAATGCACAAAGTAGGATAAATATAGACATATATATATATATATATACATGTTTAATCTCATAAATCTCAAGAAGGAGAAACAACTCTCTCTGGTCTCAAGAAAATAAACAACTAACATATTTGATAGGTATCGGATCGTCTTGATATATATATATATATATATATATATATATATATATATATATATATATATATATCGATAGTTCGAATCTGACTCGTCTATATTAGGGACGCCTAACATTACAGATATTCTCTAATATTACATTAATTAATCTTAAAGGTTTGAATGCATTGGCATAACACATTATTGACAGCAGCTTGATTAGGACAGCATTTTTTTTCAAACTTGCTACAGAAAAACTTTAATCAAGACCACATTATAAATATTTTAAATAAATATATATGTAACATGTTGAGGAATATACTGTTATATGTATATATACATGTATATGAAATTATACACGTTATTTAACGTTTAAACGAACTGAAGTCATTGATTCATTTTTTTTTCAACGAAATACTGCATAACACTAGGGACCATTAAAATACAATCAATACATGTAAGAAACATCTGTCAGTTTAACTGTTTTGAAATACGAGGCTAGAAGGAAGGGATTGACACGCACATGTTATTTTGTATTCTTAACTCGCCAATTGAAACAATTATTATAAACATCCTACTGACCAGCTTTTTAAAATGTCGACTTGTTTTCACTGAGCTTCTTTACACGTTTTATGCGAAAATGACTGCATACTTGATTTGTGAATCGTTTCTTTTTCTAATAAAGATTGTTTTTGTCACTAACTGCATCAATTTCAACAATCTTTGTTGTCACACTAGTGTCCGAAAAGTGAATGAGCTTCAGTAATTGTATATCATTTTCATTTTAACTAAATAAGTGATAAAGTAGATAATTTTTGTTACAATAAGTTGATAATAATCTAAGTAAATATTGTGTTACAGTATGCTGATAAAAATCTTTAAAAATAATTTGTGTTACAGTTCTTCATTCTTTGTTATTTTCAAAACTTTTAACGTTAATTTAGAAAAATTAAGAAGTTAAGAATCCATGTCACATCATTGCCCTCTTTAATGGAGTCATATATATAATATCTACGAAATGTCATTCTAGTTAGGAAATTTGGACTGATTTTTTTATTTCGGAACCGGAATCTAAAATACAGTTTTTGTACTTGTATAAAAGACCTGAGATACGTTTTTTTAAGATTTGTATAACATAAAAAATATTCATCAAGAAATACTTTCTTCAATGAATTTTGTTCTTCCTATCATAATCAATTCAGAATAAATAATGACCATGCCTTTTCCTATTTCATATATTTTCCATGATTCAGAAGAAGTTGTTGCAATATAACCGCAATACGTAGGTCAGAGGTCAAGATCAGGATAGCCTAAAGTAGTAAAAGTGCCTTAGGAAAATATTGAAATTACTACATATAACTTGCCTCTTACGTCCGATTTTCATCACTGATGCACTGACAGGTGATTTTCATTTCTGATGCACAGGTTTCAAATAAAAAGAATGAAAATGTCAGGGTACTTATGAACACATGTATTCAAAGTAAATGGGATTGCAAGGTTTTCTCCACGCTGCATCTCTTCTTCTTATATGATATATAT